GGGAGGGCAGCCGGAGAGCGGCGTGAAGAGGAGGGGGGGGGGGGGGTGGGGGGAGGGTTAGGGGCTAGAGAGAAAGTAACTCCAGGACGAGACCGAAGCGACCCGCGCAGCAAGCACAGGCAGCAAGGCTGAGCCGGGTGCCCAAGACCCGGCGGCTGTGGGGGGCGGGGGCTGCGCCTGAGCCCGATCCGCCGCTCCGGCTCCGAGGTAAGCCCAGCGCGGCCAGCCACCCCTCAGCTCTGCGCACCCTTGTCCCCAAAGTGGCCATGATGCCGAGAAAGTCGCCCAGTCCAGGGTCCGGATCTGGGCAGGGGCAGCTGCTTTGTCCCGGTGTTGGGCGGCGGGAGCTGGCGGCGCGGGGGCGCACAGCACAAAGGGCTAGTGTGGGGTGGGGGTGTGCCCACGTGGGCTAGTCCTGGACGTGGGTGGACCCTCCCCAAGCGGGAGGGCGCCGAGCTTCCGGCCGAGTACGAGTGGGGCAGGGGGAAGCGCAAGTCCCAGCACTCTGGGCGGAGTGCTGGGCCGAGCACCCTGCGGGGCCAGGGAGTTTCCCGGGTCCGAACTGGGCTTGGGCAGCTGGGGCTTCTGGACCAACAGGGCCAGGCTTGGCGCCCAAAGCAGAGAAAAAGTCTCTAACGGGACAGATACGCGTCCTGTGACGGCCACCTCGCGAGTCCGCAACGGGGAGGGAAAAGCCGGTGCGCCGGCGGTCGAGCCCCGCGCGTGGGGTTCGGGGGCGGGTCGCGCTGAGACCAGATCACCGGCTCCGGACCCTGTTCCGCGCCAGAACCCCCGGCCTGGACGCGCGCATAGGGAACGCACTTGCAACCCTCTCGCCCCCACCAAAGCTCCTGACCGCCCCCGGGCGCCCCCCAACCCTGACTGCAGAAACATAAGCTTCAAGTTTTCACTCCGTGTCTCAAATGTGCATGAAGGAATTTAACTGCACGAGTGAATAAACAGCATTAGTTTCAATTGTTTTTTAATCCCGGCAACAATAAACTTTGAGAACAAAAGCGCTTTTACGTCCTTAATTAGGCGAGCTCCCCATCTGTGGTCTCTGAAGTGTCTGCCTCTTGATTTAACTGTCCCCTGCCCCGCCCCCGCCGCGCACCCCTCACGGGAGGGCCAGGCGCTTCTGGTTCCACGGCCACCTCCGCCCCGCGGCACCTCCGGGCCTCTGCCCAGCAGGCTCAGGCCTCTCCGAAGTTCACACCGGCCGGCGTGCTTCGCGGTGGAGCTGGCGCGCACCAGGTGCCTCACTAGCCTGTGTGCGGGCCAGCACCCTGGACAATTCTGCAGCTCCATCCGCCACCCCTCTGGCACTCTTGCCGTGGGCCTGCGCTCAGGGCGTGGAGCTGAAGGGAGCTCTCCAGCCGCCTTCTGTTTACCTTTTATGGTTAAAATAACAGCTTAGCAAAGAAGCGACTTCACGAAGAAGCGATTTAGTAAAATCGTCTCAAGCTGCCGCAGCACAGCCAGTTTAATCACCCCCAGAGAGCTGAACAACTGCGAGCACAATGGGACACAAAATCATTTTGTGTGTAAATGAGCGTTGCATTCTGCTCGCTTCCCTCTGCTCGGGCGGGCGGGGCTCGGCAGCGTGCGGGCGGGCGGGCGCAGGACCCGGGTCTCCCGCTGCAGCTCAGAAAAAAGGGTCAATACTCAGCTACTTGGGAAACCCGCGGGCCCTTACGCGCACTGCAGCCGTGGTCCCTGCAACAGGCGGTTTGGCCCAGCCTAGCAAGGGCCGGGTGGGCCGGGTCTGAGTGGTGGGTTTGAATGCTAGTGTTGGTGGCATGAACTTGTGTCTCTTACTGCGCCCACTTTTATGCTTCTGACCTCAGCAGTGTGGTCTCGGGAAAAGGTTGTTGCCCAGCACCAATGCGTTTGTCGGAGGGAACACTGGAGGTTCGTGTCAAGGCGTAAAGCCTGGGGCTTCCAATGGTGAGTTTCTGGTTTGCCATGGACATGATTGTGCTTGCTGTGGAAGAAAGGCTGGGTGAAAACAGGATGGGGCAGCTTTTGTGACGGGGTACTTGGTGTTAAATGTCACTTTTGGGTAGTGGCTGGTAGTAGGGAAAACCTCTCGCAGTCTGCTTTGATAGAATTTCCGTGGGAATTCCTTCCTGTTCAGTTTATCCTCACTGTCTTTCCTTCTGACTCCTCCCCAGCAGAGCCTCCCAGGGCAGGATAATCCCTTCTTCAGGTCTGTTTTGGTTTCTCAGAACTTCCTTGAGATAAGTGACCTGGTTTTCTTTATTAAGCCTGCTGTAACTCAGGGATGCCAATAGCAGCTGGACCCAGAGGAGACAGACCCCTAGTGAGGGTTTAAGTTAAACATCTCTGTTAGGAGGTACACCTTCCCCTCAAACAGTTCCACACCTCTTACCAGGGCACTCTGGGCAGGACAAATCAGAGGAGAGAAAGTTTACTTATATTTTCAGGGTATGATTCTCATTGGACCTTTGTCCACATTTTAAAACTGGATGCTGAATATCAAGGCACAAATTTAGATGTCAAGAGTTTAACAGGGAAAATCAGTCCCTTGGGACAAGAATTTCATCTGGTTACTCTCTCAACAGTTAAACCTGTGTGAGATCTAAATCCAGGTGGTGGTTGTCGTTATGTGCCATCGAATTGGACCCGACTCATAGCAACCTCCCCCCCCTTGGGTTGCCGAGGTAGTATCTCTACAGAAGTAGATTGCCCAACCTTCCTTCTGAGGAGTGGCTGGTGGGTTTGAACCGCTAGCCTTCTGGTTAGCAGTCAAGTGCCTTAGGCACTATGCTACCAGAGCTCCCAGGTTCCAGGTTAGGCTTGTGGAACTGTGTGTGTGTCTGTGTCTGTTTTCGTAGTGCAAACTCACATACCCACCTCCTCCATGAGGCAGCCCAAATAGAAGGGGTTGCATAAATCTTTTCTCTTCCCTTTTATGAAGTGCCATGGGGTTGGTTCGTAGGTACTGAAGGGTAGTATTAAGTGGTTTGTGGCACAGAGGAAAGTTGCTGAGAGCCTGGAGAGAAGCAGGAGAACTGGTCCATTTGCTGAGCTGCTGCTGTTGGTTTCCTTCTGGTCACTCTCTAAAACCCCTGTGTGTGTAAGGGGGTGGGGAGAGGAAGCATCATGAGGGTCTGGAAAACATTAGGCATAGAGGAGACCATCCTGGGGTTCCAGGGAGAAACTGTGAGGTGAATACTTGGCAAACAAAGACAGGTTTTTGCTGCTCTTGGGAACCCATAGAAGAGGTGGTGTTCTCTCTTCCCTAGGCACTGACTTCCCTGTGTCCCACTGAGTGGGCATGGTGTTAAGAGAGGTCCCGGGCTCCCCACTCCATAGAGAGTGCAGAATCCTCTCTGAGCCTTGGGCCACAAGGTTCTCTTCTGATGCAAGAGGAGACACGCTTGGTAATGTGGCTCTAAACCAAAATACCAAGAAAATCAGATTTGTTCTGAAACATTTTGGGCCAATAATGGTGAGCATATGTTTCAATACTGTCATTAGCTAAATTAACAGACATGGAGCTGCCCAGAAAACACATGTGTGAGTGTATGTGTGAGTAATTGGCCATGGCCCGAGTCTTGCTTTTGGTGGTGGGGGGACTGGAGTGTGGAGAGAAAGGTTAGTGCCGGGAGGAATCTGGAGAAGTAAGAGTTAGGTGTCTCAGGTGCTGCGTGGTATGGAGTCCCAGAGAGCGGGTGCAGAAATGAAAATGCTAAATGAACGTCTTTGACTCCATGGAAGAGATGGCTGCTGACAAGTAAGCCCTCTGGTTTTGTCGGTGCTCCCCACAGATACTCTGGGCAGTGATGGAAGCCTAGATGCCTCACCGCAAGGAGCGGCCGAGCGGGTCCTCGCTTCACGCACACAGCAGTGCCGGCACCCCGGTGAGAGCCAGCAGGGTGGGCTGGGCAGGTGGCCCCCTCTTTGCCTCTTCCTGAGTGTCTGCTCACTGGTTGCCCTTCCTCATGGCAGCAGTACTCCAGGGATAGCTGTTGACTGGCTGCACGATTATGTATTTTTTAAAAGAAAAATGCTCTTAATCTGATGTGAAATTTACTACATGTATAAAACTCAGTGCCTTAGGTGCTGAGGAAGTCACTAATTTAGAGGTGTCTCGTTACTGAGACAAACTTGCAAAAACCCCTGAATCCCAATTCACAAATCGGTGATTCGTTTGTCAGGGGATATTTCACATCTAACACATAAGCTTACGACCTTTAATTAGAATTTTGCAGTTTGTTTTATGCCCCTGGAGGCTGACACCTTGAGAATTTTTTTCTTGATTTCTTATTGCTAATAAGCATCTTTCTTTTTTCCCTCTGGTACTTTAAAGAAAATGATGCAAATACACTTAATTGCAGTGGTAGCCATAATTTGTCAGCTGAATATGTGATCAGGCATAGGCAGAAGTGATCTGATTAGATCTGTGATCACACTCACAATAAAGGGAGTATACAGCTCTGTTGTAGAGAAACTCTTGTTTCCGTTTCCAGGAGGGAGGAAGCATGTCCCGGTTGTCTCTCACCCGGTCGCCTGTGTCTCCCCTGGCTGCCCAGGGGATTCCCCTGCCAGCCCAGCTCACCAAGTCCAACGCGCCTGTGCACATTGATGTGGGTGGCCACATGTATACCAGCAGCCTGGCCACGCTTACCAAGTACCCCGACTCCAGGTAAGAGCTGAGCCCCTCGTAGCGCAAGGTGCATTCATGGTGGTGAGGAGCAGTGTCACCTTTTCCTCTCCAGCAGTCCATAGGGCATGGCTGATGCAGATCTCGAGAACTGGGCTTTGGGAGGCCAAGTCTGCCTGTGGAAAGGTGCTTTGCACAGGGGCTTATGACGTGGGGCTGGCAGCCTTGGGAGTGCTACGTGGAGCTCCTGGTAGAGGTCATGACCTTCACATCCTTCTTGAGACTCTTTGCAGGGGACCACTTGTGAGTGATGCTAAATACTTCCAGGTAGTGGGGAAAGGAGAAATATATAATCCTGCTCTGTTCTAACCTTTGTGGAAATGCATAAGGGGAGGAAGGAGGAGGAGCTGCAGCGTGGCCACCACTAGACTCAAAGGGCTCGTAGCCAGCCTTCTTTGGGGCTGAGGGTTATGGTGGCCAGCTGGGTGATTCCAGGATGTTCAGGGATACTGGGGCTATGGATAAGCATGAGCCTCATACACCCATCAGTGGATAAAGTATCTCTGTCAAGGCCTTGACTGGAGGCTTGAGGGTTCCTCTCAGTAGGGAGCCCCCCACTCTGCTGAGCTAACATGTGCTCCTATTTTGGGGCTTGTGCCAGTCTTTGGTGTTACCCATCTCCTGCTCTTGCCTCTTGGGGGTTTCCCTTCCTGGGGAGGACCTACTTTCCCTGTGAGCATAGCAGTAGGATTGACCCAGGTAGGATGGGTCTAGAAGCCTCTCCAGGGAGGATGCAGCATGCTGCTGGCTGCTTGCTTCTGGCACAGTCGAGCAGTCTCCACTCTCCCTTGGGCTGCCAAGGGCGGAGCTCAGGGGGGCTAAGACTGCAAGGGATCACCCCTGTTTTATACATTTAAAATAACAAGAGGAGTTAATAAATCCCTCAGACATCTAGGGATTGCCTTGGAAGCCTGTGTGCCAGGCATGCTCCTTGTTGTCAGTGTGACTGCTCAGAGCAGGGAGGCCTTGTGGCCACGTGGAGGTGGCTAATCCTGGAGGTTACTGAGGGTTGGGGTGGGGCAGAGGGGCATAGATGTGCCCTTGAGCAAGATGTTGGAAGTGGGTGCAGAATGAGGGAACTGGGGTACAGATTGTGATTGGGGCTGTATTCACTTAGCTCAGCAGAGACTACTCCTGGGGCACTGGTGCCTTGGGGCTCTGGGGGCGGGGCGTGAGGCCATGCCAGCAGTGTTGGTGTATACACTTGCTCACAGAGCCCTCAGAGGGAGATGGATTTTGCTTATTTAATTTCCATTTTGACTTTTGCGACATTCCCAAGTTGTTTCAGATAGATCATCCTTTAATTGGTTGACAGCGTTTGTGAGTTAAATTCATAAAGCCTTTGCCCACAACCCTTTCTGAAGAGTGTTTCCTGAAATCAGATACTTTTGTTTCTGTAATAATCATAGTCTTGTCCTTAGGGAAGTAAGGGGAGTCCTCCTCATTCTTGTCTCCCGACTGCTGCTCAGGAGCAGGGAAGGCAGGGGGTGGTCATCCTTTGCCAGGCCCACCAAGGTGGCTTACTTTACCCATTATCCTGCTGTGAGGTATGCATGTCTTCTCACTGGAATGTGGGACCCTTGGCCTGCAGGTATGCCCTGAGGGGTGGCGGTCTGCGTTCTTTCTGGGGTGGGGCCTCAAGATCAATCTGTTGTTCAGCCTAGGTAGCATCGGGCTCAGAGGAAAACTGCTCCCAGGCCTGAAGCTTTGGCCTGGAGACCAGAGGGTAGCATGGCCTACAGGACACTCAGGACATGGTGGTTCATACTGGGTCCAAGAAATGGACTGTGTAGCCTTGCTTCCAAGGGCTTCTCCGGTCTCTCCTTCTCTCAGTGAATTGTTAAAATTCAAGAACTCACATCCACCAATTCTAGAAAAGAACAAGCCCTCACCCGGTCTCACTAACGTGTGAGTAACCTGAAGGTCAGCACAGTGTTGCCCTGGGTAATGCTGTGAGAGTCAGAGGGCTTGTGTCTCCATGCCCTGGGTCACTGCACCCACACCATTGTGCCTGCGTTTCTGGTTCTTGGCTGGCTAGAGTGGCTCCACCATAAGGAACAGGAGACCCTGGGTACCAACCAGGTGCCTCCTTTGGCCCCACCCAGGAAGAGCCATTGGTCCTCACCTGGAAACAGCCCAACACAGTGGCCTGGGGCTGAAAGCAGACTCTTGAGCCTGTGACCTCACTCATGCCTGCCTGCTGGACATATTGAGGCTGCTGCAATCCTAGCTCCACTCTGGCATCCATAATGGCTGGGGGAAGCAGCAAATTAAGATGGCCAGGAGCTTTGGAACTAACAAAACCTTCCACTGAAACAACCAGGAAATCGGAGCCAAAGCTTTAAAAAAAAAAAAAAAGGAGAGCCATGTGATGCCTCCCCTTTGTGTACACAGGCGCTAGACATTAGACTGTTCCTTCTGCCTACAGTGGTCTCAGCTGCTGACATGTGAACTGACCTGCTTGTTCCTTGGAGGACTTTCTCCAAACCCTGCAGTCTCCTGCCCAATGTGGCCCAAGGCTGGTTTCCACAGGGGACACGTGGAGCCACTGGCAAAGAGCAGGAGAGGTCACAGCAGGAGCTGGGCTCGTTAAGGCCCTGAAAGTAGCAGCAGGTTTCTTTGTGGTGGTGTCTATGACAACCCTCCCAACCTGCTCTCCTTGGTAGCCTCAGACCCCAAAGGCATGAAAGGCATTTGTCCTGAGAAGCTGCTCTGCTGCCAGCTTATCCTGAAGCAGACACTGAACCATGGCAGGATCCAGAGGCTCCAGTCCTGACACAGGGCAAATTGAGAACCTTCTGCCTCGGACCGTTAAGGTAATCTAGAAGCCAGGATGGTCTGGAACCCTAGCTAGCCCTGATCATTGAAAGGATTTGGACGTCAGGGAGCCATGAGATAGAAACAGTGGCAAGCAGGAAGGATGGCACACATGCATACATGCCACAGCACGTAAACATACGCACAGGTGACAGAGTACACACACGTGCTTGCACATATGCCACAATGCATGAACACATACATGCATGTCAGAGCATAAACACGTGCACACAAACCTTGCACATAAGCACATGCACACATACCACACGCAAGTGTGCCTGCACATATATTATACTTGCTGGTCACAACATTAGGGCTCAACCAGAAGGGGTGGGGGAATATTCCCAAGGGAGGCAGAGGCCTGGAATTTGCTATCTTACCTTATCTTGCTCCTTTCTGCTGGTGCCATGTTGGCCCTGACAACTGCACAGGATACCCTGTGCAGTCACATCTGTCTCCAGGGTGTCTTTCCCTCTGGCATCTGAATTCCTAGGTTCTGGTGGCATAGTGCCTAAGGCATTTGACTGCTAACCAGAAGGTTGGTGGTTCAAACCCACCAGCCACTCCTTGGAAGGAAGGTTGGACAATCTACTTCTGTAGTGATACCGCCTCGGAAACCCAAGGAGGGGTCGCTATGGGTCGGAGACGACACGACAGCACATAACAACAACAACAACATTGAGGCCAAGTGTTGGGGCTTTAAAGGATGGACAGGCTACAGAGCCCTCAAGACTTTCTAGCAGAGACTGGATCTCCAAAACCATTGTTCCCAGGCATGGTGCCTGGGTGGTAACTGGGGGAAGAGCAGACTCATTGACCTTTGGAGCTTTGAAAGAAGTTATAGCCGGGGTGCACTCCAGGATCAGTTTTAGAGGCACCAGCTTCTCCACACCTCACCATAGACTCTGACCTGCTCACGCCCATCCATGTGGGAGCCTTACCCTTTATGTTAACCCACTGGAACTGGAGCTAGGCCATAGCCCCAGAGAGAACAGGTGCCTGCATGGCAGCTTCATGCCTGGACAGGCCCGCCTGGCTAGTGCCTTCAGTGTTCTAGGGCACTAGAGCAGAGGGCCATGAGATGGGGGGCTCTGAGAGGAGCTTTAGGGGCTCTAAACCCTTCCATTTCTGCCCTGCAGACACAATGGCCGTGGTGGGGCAGGGCCTTAGGAGTGGCTGACTTGGAAGCACAGAAGAGGGGGCTGCGGAAGGGATTGTCCTCAGAAGGGTCCCTGCTAGTGCAGGCAGAGAAGGAGAGAGGAGCCTTAGGCGTCAGCTTGAGGCTAGGCTGGAAGACTTCAGTTCCAGGTCAAGGCTGTCTCTTCTCAGGCTCGTAGACAAGCTGCCTCATTGCTGGGATCTGGCTGGGGATGAGTGTGTGGCCATACTTGCCGCACCTGCCATACCTGCCAAAGAGTGTCTGATGGTGCTGTCATTGGGAGATGCTGCTTCTCTCTCCTGTCCTCAAGCCCAGTTCTTGGCTGCCCCCACCGCTCTTAGGAACTCATAACCATCCATAGCTTGGCTTGGAGGAAGTTACCCAAACCAGAGCCCACTGCCTAGGACATGGAGGAGACTCCGCCCCTGGCTCTGAGGCCCAGTCCCTTTCCCTGGAATAGATAGAGACAGGCATCAGAGGTCCCCAAAAACTTCCTGCAGGTCATGTACGTTCTGTGGGAACCACTTGCCTTTCAGAACATAGGATGCCAGGACTTATTTCCTTTCCCGTGATCCCCCTGGTGTGACAAGTGTGCACATAACATGCACACACTATGGTGCTTGTGTGCACTATTTGTGTATGAGCGCATACACACTGGTGTGTATCCATATGTGAATGCACTGTGTGTATGTGCAGGCACACTTGCGTGTGATATGTGTGCATGCACTTATGTGCAAGGTTTATGTGCACGTGTTTATGCTCTGACATGCATGTATGTGTTCATGCATTGTGGCATATGTGCAAGCACGTGTGTGTACTCTGTCATCTGTGCACATGTTTATGTGCTGTGGCATGTATGCATGTGTTCTGTCCTTCCTGCTTGCCACTGCTTCTATCTCATGGCTCCCTGAGTGTGTGGCTGTGGGTTGTTTGCCTGTGATTTTGTCAGGTAATATAGCTGTGTCACAGGTTGGCTTGTGGCTGTTGTGTGTCTGGTTCTGCCTGTCATTTGTGTGCCTGGGAGGGAAGGGATGTATTTGTGTATGATCCTGTGCCTGTTGCCTGGGTGCGTGTGTGTGGTGCTTATTGATGTCGGCTGGGTGAGGTGGCTGTGTGTGACCCTTTTAGTTCTGGTGGAAAATCTCTCCATCTTGGCTGTTTTCTGCATGCTTGGCAGGTGTCTGATGGCTGATGTGAGTTTTCTGGGTGAGGCTGTCTGCTGAGGGTATGTATACAAGGTCTGGGACTGGGATTTTGTGTGGGGGGTGAGGTGGCTCTGTCTCTGTCTTGCTGTACTTTTCCAGACCTATAGCATGTGTCAGCGGGCTGATGTGAACAGTTGGGTGTATCCGTATCTGTCTGTGGCTTGTGGGTGTATGTGGGCTGTGTGGCATGTGCTGGTTTTGCACACCAGCATCTTGTCTAACTCTGGTCTGGCTGCTCCAGGTGTGTGAGGTCATGTGCTCCCCCCGGAGGAACAGTCCCAGAGCCATGTGAGGCTCCTGCCCCTGTGGCAGGACAGGAACCCAGGACTGAGGATGGGTCAAGCAGACTCGGCCCATTCCCTCAGACATTCCATCCTCTCTGTTCTCTCCTAGAATAAGCCGCCTTTTCAATGGCACCGAACCCATCGTCCTGGACAGTTTGAAGCAACATTATTTCATCGACCGGGATGGGGAGATCTTCCGCTATGTGCTGAGCTTCCTGCGGACGTCAAAACTGCTGCTCCCGGACGACTTCAAGGTAAGTCTGCAGCTAGAGGCTCCCCCGCACCATGTGTGCGATGGCATTACACAGGGGACACTCTGACTGAATAAATGGACCCATGGTCGTCATGGCAACCATAAAAAGTTAAACGATGAAGCCGAGGGCTAATCAGTTTTTCTAAACTAATTTTGTTTTCTCACATTTTTAGCTTATTTACCAGGGTGTAACAATAATTAAGCAGCGGCAGCAGCGCTTACCCCAGTTTAATGTTTGTTGTGTGTAAAGACTGTTGTGTGTCATAGTTACAGGAGACAGAGGCTCATCACTCTGACTCTTATTGGCAGTTTAGAAGGGGAAAGGCCCTGCTCCAAAGATCCAAACCAAACACCCTCTAGACAAAAGGTTATCCTCGGGTCTCTGGGGAAACTCCTCCAGGGCAGCTGGCTTGTTGCCCAAATCCTGCGTTGGTGTCAGGCCCCTTCCATGGCACTAAGGATCCAGGGAGGAAGAAAACTCTGGTCTGGGCTTGCCTGACTCATACCAGCAAATGGGCATTCATCTGTCTTTTCCTACCTAGAGGACCAGTGGAGTGTTTTGGGTTTCATCTAGCTCAGTTGCTGAGTGTCAGCCTGTACTCAGGCTGAAGATATAGTAAAGCACAAGGCTGACGTAGGTCCTGCCTCATAGTGCTCACAGTCTGGAGGGAAGACAGATGTTGAACAAATAAACACTTAAATTCTGTTGTGGCACATGAATCTAGAAAGTAGGGAATATTGTGAGAGTGAACAACAGGGAACCTGGCCTGAGTGGGTTTCAGGAGAAAGTGATGGTAACTCTCAGTAGTGAAGGAAAGAACTGAAAAGAGGATGTCATGCAGCCAGGGCCTTATGAACTGGAAGGGGAAAGGCAGGAAAGGGGTGGTTGTGGGTCCTCAGGACCTTGGGGTGCAGGCCCAGCATTAACATGTTACTGTGAATGCAGTGGGAAGGTGAATAGGACAATGACAACCCAGGTTACAAAATTGGAACAAATACGTTGGCAGTTGTGTGGAGAAGGATATGGGCAGGGTAGGAAGGTGGACACAGGCGACCAGTCCTGGGTGGGGCCACTTCCCCAGGCCAGGGAAGCAGTGTTGGAAGCTTTGGACCACAGCAGAGGCAGAGAAGAAGGAGCAAATAGGCAGAAGAGGTTTCTGTTTAGCAAGAGGCTCTAAAGGACATGGGTGTGCAATGCCCATGGACAAGGGGCTCTTGAGGGTGTCTCCGCCCTGGCTTGCGTCTTGAGTCCCGAGCCCCAGGGCCCCAAGGTGAACAGGCTGAGGGGAGTGTGGCACATACTCCTGCAGGGAGGTGCTATTGGGATGTTGGGTGAAGATGTTCTGAGGTATGAGGAAGATTTGGGGGTTGTTGGTGTGCACATGCCATTTAATCCCTCAGAATGGATAAGAATGGGATGAGTAGATGCCTGGGATAGAGCCTTGAGGAACCCTTACTGATGAGCAGATGGATCCATGACCAATGACAGGTCCTAGGCAAGAATTAGGGTTGGGCCTCCTTTAGGGTGGTTCCACAGGCTAGCATGTGTTGAGTTATCTGAGGAGGGAAAGCCAGGCAGCCAGCTCCTGGGCTGAGTGAACTCACACCAACTGTGTATCTCAGGACCTGATATCAGCTACCTCCCCTGCCAAACACATGCCCACCACAACCTGCCCCAGCCCTCACACCACTCATCAGGGCCCATCCCAAGTCTGGCTGGTAGGCCTGAGGGCCCCTGGGGGAGAGGCAGGAAAACGCAACCCCAGAAGCAGGGCCTGTCCCACAGGCTCTTTTAAGGTGTGGTGGGCATGTGTTTGGCAGGGTAGTAGGCTGATAACAAGTCCTGAGACACCCAGTTGGTGTGACTTCTTCCAGCCCAGGAGCTGGCTGCCTGGCTTCCCCTTCCCAAATACCTCATCATACTCAGTGCCAAGGGTCTGCTTGGGTAGGGCCAGCTTCTTGGCAGATCTTGTGTCCTTTCATTTTTACTCTCTTTGTTCGAGCTGGGCACTTATGTCCATTTTATCGATGAGGAAACTGAGGCTCAAAGAGATTGACTAATTAAGGCTTAGAGGTCTCAGAGCTGGTAGATGATGAAGCCAAAAATACGGATGTGGCTGGAGAGGACACTCTTCTGTAATGTACTTCTTGGCCTTCTCACTGGGTTCTGAGCTTTTCCAGGGCAGGTGAGAGTGGGGCTGCCCTGTGACCAGCCAGGCCTCTCCTCTGGGTGGGATCCAAGAAGGCAGCAGGTCCCCAGGCATAGGTACTGCCTCCAGCTCCTCCAGTCTACTTTCCTAATCTTCCCACGAGGCTCTCTCTGCCCGGTGGGCCAGATGGGAGGGGCACAGGTGCAGGCCAGCTGCTACCCTTGTGTGAAGGCTAGACTCCTTATGTTTGCACATATGCACCCAAGCCTCTCTTTCCCCATCGTATAATGGAGCAAACCACCCCAGGCCACACTGTGCCCTCCTGGAGTTGGAAAGGGCAGACACCCCTACCCTCATCCACACCCAGTGTGTATGTGCCCCAGGACTTTAGTCTGCTGTACGAGGAGGCACGGTACTATCAGCTGCAGCCCATGGTGCGGGAGCTGGAGCGCTGGCAGCAGGAGCAAGAGCAGCGGCGCCGAAGCCGGGCCTGTGACTGCCTGGTGGTGCGGGTGACACCGGACCTGGGTGAACGAATTGCACTCAGCGGTGAGAAGGCCCTCATCGAGGAGGTCTTCCCCGAGACTGGGGATGTCATGTGCAACTCTGTCAATGCCGGCTGGAACCAAGACCCTACACACGTCATTCGCTTCCCACTCAATGGCTACTGCCGGCTCAATTCGGTGCAGGTGAGGACTGTAACTGCCCGCTTCTACCCACCTCAGCCTCCTCTACCAAAGCCCTCTGGCAGCAGAGAGAGACTGAGAGAGGCACCATCCTCGAAATGGTGAAGCCCTCTGTGCCATCTTACAGAAAAGGCAACAATGTGTCGATGCATAATTTATGTCCCCCTCATCATTAAATGATGGGGCCTGGGAGATGGACTTAAAAAGAATTTATCTGTAAACCCCCCCCCCCAAAAGGATGTTCTATAAAAGTGTTCCAGAGTATTTTCAGCAAAGTATGCTTCATTTGACACCCAGAGTCTAACTTTGGATTAAAATTAAATGCAGGGAAACAAGAGAGTAAGAACAGCGGCTGAGTGGAGGTGGCCTGGAGCCCCTCTCCTGACCCTGCTGGCTTGGTCCCCATGGACATGTGAACAGCTGCCCAGAGCATTTTTCGGTGGGGTCTTAGGACTGAGTGAAAAGCCTCAAGCTAGAGTGGGACCTATTTCTCAATAGCTCTTCCCAAACCCAAGATCAGACTCCCACCTCCAGGTTTGGGCAGAACAGACGGGGGGAAAGCTTCACACTCTCCATCTTCAGGGTGTGGAACTTGCTGAGTTATAGGGACACAGGTAGGAGATTTAGCAGTTAGATTTTACTCCGCACAGAGGCACAGACATACATGGACATGGGGCTTGTGGATATTCAGGGGTAGAGAAGATGCCTCCTCTTTCTTTCTACCCCAAGATCCTTGGTGCTGATGAGCCTCTAGGGTTCCAACAGCTGGCACTCACAGCTGCTGGGAAGCTGGTGCTGGGGCGCTCTGTTACTGGGGCAGGCCTCAGGTAGGGAGGGGACCTAAGACCATGTGTCTGTAGAGGTGGGGTAGAATATACAGGGGCATCCGGGAGAGAAGGGAGGGAAAGAGCCCAAAGGCTCCTGAGTCAAGTTTTTGCACCCCTATGGGCTGTACCCAGGTGGGGCAGCCACCAGGTGTGGTTACTTGAGGGCCCCTGGACAAGCAGGTCTACCCATGTCCCTGGCTGCTCCTGCCCTTCCTGTAGTTGCCCAACTTGTGGTTCTGCAGGGACTTTTGTTGGTGAGTGAGGTGGAGATCTTAACAGAAGGTAGATTAGAAAACCAGGCCCCATCCCCTCAGGCCAAGCCAGGCAAACTCTGTAGCTGGGCATTACTGACCTCTTTCTTCCCCAGCAGGTCCTGGAGAGACTATTCCAGAAGGGGTTCAGCATGGCTGCCTCCTGTGGGGGTGGTGTGGACTCTTCCCAGTTCAGCGAGTATGTGCTGTGCCGGGAGGAGCGGCGGCTGCAGCCCCCTCCCACTGCCATCCGGATAAAGCAGGAGCCCTTGGACTAGGCCCTTCTCCAATGCCCGCCTGTGATCCCTTGGCCCTGGGGACACCCCAGGGACCCAGAAACAGTGCTGAGGAGTTCTGCCTGTGCATGCTCGGCGGTGGGTGTGAGATTGAGGGTGGGGCTGGAGGGCCCAAACCTGGCCCAGGGTCCTGAGTGTCACAGCAACAGAAGATGGGATGTGGAGGCACACCCACCAGAAGGACTATTGATATGACCCCAAGAGGCCACGGTGGGAACTGCTGCTGCCTGCTCTCCTGGCTTCTTGGGCTTCTGGCCTGGGCAGTATATTCGGAGGCTCTGGGGCCAGCTGAGGCAGGGTCAGCAGGGGCTCTGCTGGCCCATTCCAGAAGAGTCACTCACCGTCTCCACGTGTGCCAGACTCTGGTGGTTTTCCTCAACATCAGGAATGGCTTATTTTTCTACAGTATTTAAAACAGAGGTGACTGTATCTGCACACATCAGAGAGGCCAACAAGGACCGATGCTGCTTCCTCTGGTGCTCAGTTCTCAGTCAGACACGTAGTGTGCCCCAGCGGTGGGGGGTGGCCTGGGTGTTCGAGCCCAGACCCCTGCTGAGCCAGGGCTTTGACACTTGTTCCTGCTACCGGGACAGAATGAGGACAGCAGTGCAGCAGCAATGGTGGGAAGCCGGTGGGAGCAAGGTGGTGTGGGATTGGGGCTGGATGGCTCTGTCGCCATCTGAGATCCTCACTTTTGCTGTCTTCCACCCATGGCTCAGGCCCCAGCTGTATGGGTCTCCTGCCCATCTCCCAGTGCCCAGGGGCTTCCAGTCCTGCGTGTGTGCTCATACTTGGGCTCCACGTCCAGACCAACCACAGGGCCCCACCACACTCTTACCTCAGGAATGGGCCCCAGGGTTAAGGGGCCCATCTGTCAACAGTGTCCTTTGGGTCCCAGCTCAGGAAGCTGTCTCTAGCTCCGTTTTTCCCACATCAGTTATGCACACTGAATTTTAACTGAACCGTTGTTATGCTAGCCTGCCGATAAGACCTGGACACAGCTCTTGACCCCTGATCCCAATGCAGACTGGACCCTGAGGGGTCCTCACAGACCTGCTGCCTCACCCCTGGCCTTGTTACACATTCCCCCTGCTGCCTCTTCCCTTGGGAGGAGCAACTATAGAGAACTGCTCGGTGGGCGGGGCACCCCAGCAGGCACCGCCCTTTGTACAATGCCTATAGACTTGTATATTATTCCTTTAATATTGTAAAGATGCCAATGTACAACTGTCTTGTGTTTGTGTAAACACATTATGTTCCTCGTTCATGCCATGAATGATGCTATAAAGCAAAAGACTGAGGCTTCATCCTGTGCAGAGCAGCAGTTGGATTCCTGAATTTGACACTGCAGGGGGTTTGGGGGTGGAAGTCCTATGTTTCCTTCAGTTCAAAGGGAGGAAGAGCAGGCAGTGGTAGCTGGGGCAGGGGCAGGGACCTGAGCTCAGTGTTACTATGTATGGGTGTCTCTGCCCTGCTTCTAAAGGAGCTCTGGTGGAGTGGTGGTTAGGCATTTACCTGTTAACCAAAAGGTCAGTGGTTCAATCCCACCAGCTATTCCCTAGGAGAAAGGTGAGGCAGTCTGCATCTGTAAAGATTTATTGCCTTGGAAACCCTATGAGGCACTTCTACTCTGTCCTGTAGGGTTGCTATGAATTAGAATCAATTTAGTGGCAATGGGTATGGGTTGGCCAAGCTTGTGCCGGGACAGCAAGAGCAAGAGCAAGAGCAGCACAGATTCAAATTCTGATTCACCGTCCCTAACCAGATGTTATCTAGGGAAGGCAGAAGTTGTCCAGGGGCTTTTGAACCCAGTCTTAAATGTTTGAGATTTCCTCTCTCATTGTCTGTTGGTTGGTGTTGATGGCCTCTTTCCTCCCCCAGTGTGAAGTAGAAGGTTGGCCTCTTTCCTCCCCCAGTGTGAAGCCAGGCAGAGGGACACGGCCTTGCAGCCATGGCACAAAACAAGGCCTGTTTCCAAGGAAAGGAGTTTGTATGTTCATGTAGGCCTCCAATTTTAATGAGCTTTTGTATTTTCCCTCAAAGCCTTTGTGTTCTTGCCCATGAAGAAGACCCTTTTCCACGCCCAATAAGGGCCACCAGCCTTGACCTGCCTCAGAGGCTGGGAACACAGACCAGCTGCTTCCTGTCTGAGGCTGCAGAGCCGACGCCATCCACTGTACAATCTAATTTGCTGGACAAACTTGCTAGGCTTCTCCTCTGCTTAGCAACCCGCCTACAGTTGGCAAATCAGCATTTTGGCATCTGAGGTTCACATCTGAGAGGAGGAGAAAGTGTTGTGTTTATTAGAAAGGAAGTCTTGTGAAAACAGCTCAATGCTGTGTGTGTGTATGGATATTTTTTGGTTTAATAGCCGGCATCATTCCTGATTGGTGGAGGTTCTCGCACATTTCCAAGCAAACTCTTTTTGATAAAGCCATTGTGCTTAAAAAGAAGGAAAAAGAGTAACCCTACCTTACTGAATAATCCTTTATTAAGTAAAATCTGGAAGTACGATTTTACGTAAACTGGGGAATTTCTGAATTTGTAAATACTATGCTCTCCTAATAATATTATGCTTTGATTATACATAGTCTCTATAAATAATAAATATAAATGATGAATTTCTTTAAAACGTTTTTACACCTCCTAGAATTAATATATTGTAAGTCATCTTTTGATCAAATCTTGGCAGTGTAAGTGTTATTTCTGCTCTCTGTAAACCTCAAAACTAACTATTCTTGATTATAAGCAACCGGACAGGGAGCTGTGCCAACATGTCATAGTTAGTTACCACCGAATCTATGGCAGTGCAGGTGAGAACTTGGGAAAGCCACAGCAGATGTTTCCTGCCACTCCTACTCTCATGGGGCTCAAAGCAGATCACAGCAGTCAAATCTCTTTAAAAAGTGTTTTTTTCAAGCTACCACCTGACTCTAGTCCTTAGAATAAATAAAGGATATTTTATAAATTATAACTCGATTGCTTTGTTTCTGGTCCACTGAGGAGGTAGCCACACGGAAGGACTCTGGTGGCTTGGATGATTCTAGATCTAATGCTTCTCACAGTTGGGACTACTCTTGGCCACTCAACAGGTACTTGAGTTACCTAAATCCCAAATTTGAGCCCTGATCGTAGGGGCCACGACAGAGGGGTGAGCCCTGAACAGCTATATGGGTCCCCGGACACCAAGCACAGGCCTTACTGTAGACCTGGTCTTGAGAGTTGGCAGGCCTGGGCTTCCCTTCCTCCCACAGCTCAGCCCTGCTTTGTTTCATAGCCCTGCTTCCACCGCATTCTGAGGAGGATGCTCAGGGTCACCTGCTTGGTGGTAAGTCCATCCAGTAACAACTGTATTCAAGGGAAATTGCTAAATATTACCTAAACTGGGGCAGAGAGGCAGAGAAACGTTCCTTCCAGAAGCCTTTTCCATTAAGAGCTTATCATTGACAACACTTTTCAGGGCAGTGCTGAGGTTTTCAGAAGGACCTGTGAGAGGGTCCTTTGTGGACCAAGAGAAAGAAAAAATGGGCTTGGTGGCATCTAGAGCAGCTCACTGCCAGAAGCAAGACTGACACTGACATTCTCTTAGAAGAGTTTAGTTTTCTAAAATGACCCACATGGATCACCGTTCGAGAGAGTATTTAAGGTCGGAAAGGGAGAGAGGGCTGACCAAAGACTCCATCCACTCTCACAGCCTGTACCTCAGTCCTTACCCTCAGGTCTTCCTCCTGGGTCCGGACCTCACACAGTAGGTGAGCAAACCTACCGGTGCCCCCTGCATCACAGCTATGCCAACCTACTCCAGTGGGTCCTTGTGTACCACAGCAGCCCATAGACCCAGCCAGTGGCAAAGGGCAAGGATCAGGGCCTTCCCAAGAGACCTCATCCCAAAGCTTGAGGATGTGACCCCAGGGTCATCCCCAGACAGCCCAGTGGGCTGAGCTTGAGGAGCTGGGCTCTCCCTGCTTGGCCACTGCTGGCAGCCTGCAGAAGCCTGTCACTTATCCACCACCAGCAGCCCCATCTGGGCCTCAATTCTACCAAGAAAACTTCCCTATCTCTCCCTGATGAGCGGGCTCTCTCACATGGCTGTCTGCCACTCTCTTCACGCCTGAAATGTGTGGCCTTTGCCTGTGGCCACCCCCACCTCTCTCTCAATGAGACGGCCTCATTTTGAAGAGAAGAAAGGCCCCACCAGATGGGAATACACTGGTCTTCCTTCCCCGAGTCTGTGAGCCTACAGCACTAGGCACCACCCTCCCTTTCTCCTGTCTCTGGCCTCATCAAAGCCTTGTGCATCTATCTTCCTCTGGAACCGACCCACCCTTCCTGCCTCCTCAGATGTTGTTTTTGTTAAGTGCC